TTCTTTTTTTTTTTTTTTTTTTTTTTTTTTTTTTTTTTTACAAATTTGGCTTTATGTTTCGTCATGGGCCTATTCATTTTCCTATTACTTCTGGGCTGCAGGCCATCCTCCAGGATCTTATCTGTAGACCTTTCATTGCCTGAAATGGTGCTGTTGATATTCCAGGGCAAAGTGACCACTTTGGGATAGCATTACTTCATATTACTTGCCAAGTTTTGGTGTGAAGTTAATAGATTAGAGATAAACTTTATTGTCATTTTTTCCTGTGGGCATTAAAAATAGGGGAAATAGTAGGTCTTTGCCTCCCAAAGCCTTTCTGTTCCCATTTCCACCCCTATTCCCTTAAATGCCCTTTTTGGTGATGTTACATTTAGAAGGTTGGGAAACTGAATTTTAGCCTCCAGTCTCAGAAGTTTCCTGTCTCTGTATTTTGTTGTTTACACTTGATAATGGGAACATATAAACACTGTTTGAGTAAGTTCAATCCTTGTGAACCTTGTCTTTTAGCAGACAAGTGATGAGTGATAAGCCTTTCAGAACTGCATCTCCTGACACTGCAGACTGCTTGGTTTGTTCAGTATGCTTCTCATATTTTACTTGTTCAGGTTATCAAAGAGAGCTTCTCTATAAAAGATTTGATGGCTCTTTCAGTGCCTTTGGAAACAGTGATCCCTCTGGGAGTACATGGTGAGTATCTATAATGTTGCCCAATGTGTAGTTTTCGTAAGTTTTTTTTTATTATAACTTATTACAAATTCACATCAGAAAATGGGCCATGTTAAGCCATTGAGCTCTATTTTTTCCAAATTAAAAGCCTTGCTGCCTGGGGAATTTTGGGAGTTGAAATCCACACCTCTTAATGTAGCTCAGGTTGAGAAACACTGATCTAAACCAACCATTTAATAGAAAGAATTAGTTTGGACAAAAATGCTTAACAGTATACTTTCATTGTAATTGCATCCTAGGTTATCAGCTTTTGTATTAAGGAGTTTCATTCAAGCACAACCATACATTGATATTGATCCATATATCCTGGAGAGAACAGCTGCTTGGATCCTTGGTCATCAGAAATTCAATGGAGAATTTAAGGAACCTGGAAGAGTTCTACATACTGAGCTTCAAGGAGGCACTAGCGATTCTGTTTCGCGTACAGCTTATATCTTGACTGCTCTATTAGAGTATCAGTTCAATGAGGTAGTAATGATAGTGATCTTAATGTATTTGAAACAAATTACTGTAAAGCTGTTTACAATACAGGCTAGTGCTTTAAATCAGGATAATGCCAAAGACTGCATTTGAAGCTGCAGCATTCTCAAGTCAGGCAACCAATCCTTTTTTCACAATCTGATTTCTTCCAGATGTGTTGGATTACACATCTGATTAGTTTTATGGGAATGGGGTATATAAGAACATCTGCTCAGTAGAGGAAGGGTGATCTATATCGATTGCCAAAAGCTCACAGATTTAGTCAGGAGTTATTTCCACTTCTCCTTGAATTGAATCTGGGACCTCTTATGCTAGCATATTCCCCGGCAATGGGGGGAAAGCTCTGATACATGATGTCGTGAGTTTGACATGTCTTGAGTTATTGGAACATAAGAATGCTATTACTAAGGCAGTTTTCATTCTTTAGTCCAAATCAATTTCTATGGGATTATAGTGCAAAGAAACATACAAACTGGCATATGGCTTATCACCACCACCATCAGTAATACATATTTTTGTTAGGCCCCAGCAAAAATGGAATTTTGAAAATCACTATATGGTTTGTTGATAATAGTACTGGTTTCTTTGCTAATTGTCTTCTCCCTTTTAAAGTTTCAATAGAGGTAGTCCTTGAATTGCGTCCGTAATCGAGCCTGCAATTTTGGTTGTAAATTATGATGGTCATCATATAACCATGCCTGATTTTAGGATTTTTTGCAGTAGTCATTAAGTGAACGCAGTGGCCATTAAGCAAACACATTTTTTTTGGGAAACTGGAAGTAAACACACATGTTTGTGAGATACTGCAATGGCCGAAAATGTGGGCCAGTTGCCTAGCACCTACATGGCCATGGGGGCGGGCACGGATGGATGTTGGACTGTAAGTCTCTTTTTTGAGGTTGGTCATAAATTCAAACTATTTATAGTCCACTCCTCACAAGCATATTTAGAGGCTTACAGTTAGTACTGTCTTGCTCAATCCCAGTTTGCTGCCATGTTTTGTAGTATATCCCACATTTTAGCATTGTATGTTTCTATCTTGAATATAAAAATTGTAATTTAACAGTTCACCATAAAGACTACTACTAGTTATTGTAGTTTATGCTAAAGTATTTCTTAAGGTGCTACTTTTCTTTTTCCAGAATGATAAATCTATTAAAAAAGCACTGGGCTTTCTTGAATTTCATTTAAATAACATCGTATCGGATAATCACACGCTGGCTCTTCTGACTTACGCTTTATCACTTGCCAAAAGTACAGCAGCAAAGGGAGCTCTGGACAGACTGAACGAGAGGTCAGAACGACAAGGTAGTGTAAAATAGTCTTTATGCCTGGGTGAGTAATCTGACATTCCAGTTACACTTAAGGCAAATCTATGCCAATGGAATAAAAGAAAGGAAACATAAAATAGGTTGATGTGATCTAGTTAAAAAGTTATTTATGGCCATGTTTAAAATGCTTAGTGTTACAATACAGTCACAGGATACCTTCTGGTATTGAATGCAGTTCAGTTCCACAATGTTACAGACTCTTATTTAAATTAAAAATGTGCAGGTAGCAATTAATAATTGCATATGAACTATTACCTGATTTGTGCTTTCTCTGCTACTGTAAAGAAAATGTAGATCACATTGATTTGAGCCTATAATCGGTACCAGCTGTTCAGTAGGCCACTTATTAATATTTAGTAAGACAGAAGTTAATTTGAATTTCTGCACTGAGTAAACAATTGGATCTGATGACCTAAATGGCACATTCCAACACAGTAAGGTTTTATAATTTTCCTGCCTGAGCAGGGGGTTGGACTAGATGACCTTCAAGGTCCCTTCCAACTTTACTATCATTATCATTATTATAATTATAATTTGTGTGTTCTTTTTGATGTACAATATTTATCACAAAATGCAGATTTTACTAACTCATATTCTGAAAGAGCAGCAAACCTCCACACTCACCTGTTTTGCCACATTCTTAAGTAGAATACCTAAGCAGGATTTCTGCCAGTGAGTCATGTTCTTATTAAGGTATTTGCTTCCCATCCTGATATGTACACTTCTCATTGGGCTATTTTTGGCTGCCTTCCTTAAAGAATGTCCCTTTTTCTTTAGGGACTCCTGTAAATCTGAGTGTTTCTCCACAGCTGCTGATATCATGGTGGATATTTTTGGAGCAATCAGCTCTTAGAGAATGTATTTCCAATTAGCATATATATGTGGGATGCAGTGATACGATGGCATATCTATGGGGAAGGAAACATCTATAATAAGCAAACATGCCTGCATTTAGAGACCACTTTGGCAATAGCAAGTGTTAACTACAAAGCTGGCCTGAAATGTGAACGTGAAAAGCAGGCCTGAAAACATATACAATGGGAATGGGTCTTGTTTGATTATGAGCTGGTCTGCTCTTCCTGCTTACCCCAACATGAGAATGGACTGCCTACTGTTTGGGGAGGATTGGAACAGATGATATTGTCCTCAGCCAATCCCTCATCTCGTGAGAAGGCAAACCTCATCTGAATTTTCAAAATTCCATCAAAATGAATGGTTTTCTTTTCCCCTCTTTTTCTTGTACAAGCAGGGAAGTCTGGTCTGCTTGTTGGGCTTCCTTCTATCTTATACGAATATCTCTGTTCCAAATGGCTGGAATGTGTTCAGGATGGGTTACATCCATGTCCTCAGACTCCATTTTTTTCCTTCGATCACCATTTTGTATTCTGTCTGCAGAAACCGTCTGTTTGTTTGAACTGACAAGTATTCTGCCAAGTTTTTCCTCGCAGCTCAAGTGACGAGAAACCATAGTTGTGGTGTTGTTGTTTACTATAATCTTATTGAAAGTTTTAAAAACAAATGTTAAAAACTAATACAAAGTAAAATGGAGTAAAAAAGTAGTATTTTCTCTAATCACACAGGCCAATTTGATCATCTCAGCAATTTCTACTATCTTCAGCAACCATTCCTCTGTCATAGTTGTATGTTTGTTTGTTTTTAAAAATTCAGCAGATGGTTTGGGAAATGCTGGCCATTTCTTTGTTTTTTAACTGGGTGTCATTGACAAGAGTTTTATCAAGTTTCTCCTTCTAGTCCAAATGAAATTATTAAGTGCAACTTAAAGACGGAAGAGAAAATAACTGGTGCTTGCTTTCCTGGCATGGTTGAGAATAAAAAAAAGCAGGAAAATTAACCTGTTGGGAGCCATATTATACACTGAATTGAATATCTAGTCATAGCTGTGGCCAAAGTAGAGGAGGGGGTTGTAATTCAGAAATGGATTTTTTTCAGCCAGTTTCATTTCTTGCCAGTGAACAAACAGCTGAAAGCTATGGTACAGAAAAATATATAAATATATATATGTAGTATAACAAATTCTAGTTTATTAATTTGATAAATGTGAAATTGATTTTGGGGGTGGGTGAGAATAGTTATCTTTAAATATGAGAAACTATAGGATTTAGAAGCGATTGATTTCATCTGCTCAAAAAAAAAAAAAAGCTTCAGAAGAATAAACTCTTCCGACCTTACAAAGTTGTATCTTTTTCTTATGAGGTGAAAGCTTCTTTCTTTCTTTTTTTCTTCCCAGGAGAACTAAGGTTCTGGGCATCACCATCTTCTGGACTCTCCAATTCCTGGCAGCCACGTTCTGCAGATATTGAAGTTGCAGGTTATGCCCTCTTGTCTCATTTTATTCAACAAAGACTGTTAGAGGGGATTCCAATTATGAAATGGCTAAGCAAGCAAAGAAATCACCTGGGAGGTTATTCTTCTACACAGGTTAGAAATTATCTCAAGGAAACTAATTATCAGGCATTTATAAAATTAATCATTAAAAATGTATATGGCCCCAGGGATGTATTGTTTTTATTTAAAACTAGCTGTACCCGGCCATGCGTTGCTGTGGCTCAGTCTGGTTAAATGGAAAAGAAAGAAAAGAGAAAGCGCATGTTTGTGTCACAGGTGTGACATCTATATAATAGTAGGTATATAAAAACACGCGCATATTTGAATGCAACATTGTGTCAAAATTTCAAAGCAATCGGTGAAGAACTTTCGGAGATTTAAGATTTTGAACAAATGAACATTTACATTTTTATTTATATAGATTTTGAACCAGGAATCTGCCAAGCAATGTGTGAAATTTGAACACACTTAGGGCCTTCTGCATTGCCAGAAATTTATATATAAATGTTTCAAAGAACAATTCGAAACAATTAGAAAAGATTTTGATTCTCTAAGGAAGCCAGCCAGAACCTTCTACTCTGTGTGCGTGCCAAAGATTCAGTTAATTTTCTACACGGGCCAGTTGCACTTGATTCATCAATCCTATTTAAAAATGTCAGAACGTTGAGTTTGGGCTTGGGAAGACCTAAGTTCATATCTTTGCACCAAGACAAAATTATGGGTTATTATGCAATGTTATGCACATTGCTAAGATAAGCTTTTTGTGAATGTGCTTTATTAGACAAGCAAGAATGACCTGGTTCTGATATGATGATAAAGCCCCACTGATTGAGCTCATGCATTGTGTTAAGACAAACCAAATCAAATTATCATAAATTAAGTTTGTCCTACTTTTGTAAGAGTTACTGAGTGAGTAAATGTGTGCCTGACAAGATAAAACTATAGTTGCTGCCATGATTAACTACCTGCTCACTCTGCCCTTTCTAATAATAAAGCACAATACTTAAATCAGCATTTGGACTGACTATGTGAAGAAAACTTTTTTTAAAAAAATGTCAGTATGGCTTATTGAACCAGGATTTCCAGATAACTTCTCATCCAAGTACTAGCCAGATCTGTACCTACTTAGCTTCTGAAATCAGCCAGGCTTCCTTAGGTGCTGCCTGCTCACCTGACTGACCTACTTACTTCATCCACATTCATATTAACAAGGACGGTTCTTTCTTCTCTGGGTAGGACACTATAGTGGCTCTGCAGGCCTTGAGTACCTTTGCGACACTCACAGCTGATTCTGTGACAGAAATAGATGTGACAGTGAATACATCCATGGAAGAAAACCCAACTGTTTTCCAAATTGATCATGAAAACCGCTTTGTTCTCAAGACCAAAGAGGTACTGTAGTTAAAAAAAAAGAGTTTAATTTCAGGCAATTCATTTAGTTTGGAATGTTTTTCTGACCACATTCAAATCTGCCGTTTCTTTTAGTTTCCAGCCACACAGCCTGTTACACTTACAATTTCTGCAAGTGGCCGTGGTTTTGCTATTTTTCAGGTAGGCATATATAATAATTTTTGTCCCTTTTCTTTCTCTTAAGGATTTTGTATTGAATTAGATACTCCACTTGGTTGGGTAATATTTGAATTTATCAAGGGTAGAGTCAATATTGAGTACAAACTAGATCTAGAATCAAATCAGAGGTGTTCTTATGACTTTATTACTTTAGATTATTTTCTCCATATGTTATTCTTTTGTTCGGTCTTTTTTTAAACTGCTCTGATTACCAATATCATATTAATACAGCAATTCTATATTAATAGAATTCTATTAATTAATTCTAATAATTATGTAACAGAGCCAATGTACCTATCATGTTGAAAAGTATAGTTTTGATTCTAATTACTGTGCGTGAATGGTGTTTTCCCAGAGGATAATTGTAATAGCATTAGGATTTGTCACTTTAAGATTAATATTTTATGTACAGGATGGATCTTCTAAATCAGCAACAAGACTTCTTGATGTGAACAGTTTTATTCTGAACTGCAGCATAGCCTGCAGTTCCTAAAAATGAACTCTGTTGACAGACGTGTTGTTAACTTCATTTTGGATCTACAGTGGCTTTCAGGAAATCCTGAACATCACTACTATCAGTATTGAAGTGTTGTCCTTTATAAAAATGCTGCCCAGTCCGTAATTCAATATAATAATCATGGGCTCCTTGTAAATAGTATGGAATGTGCTAGCTCTAATTTTCATGCAATTCTTTATTTGGAGCAGTGTCTTCTTCCCTTTCTTCAGCCTTTCTCTTTAAAAATAGTCACTTGATTATCCAGAGAAGGTCTCCTGTTTCCCTTCTCTCTTCTCTGCTTAGATTTTTCAATGTTCATTATATATCTTACTTTTTTAAGCCTGGCAAAATGCATGCAAGTCATTCTCTTGTCGGCCAGTAGCATATTGTTCTTTTGTCCAATTCTGACATGCTACCCAACGTAGCAAATCAAATACTGTCTGGTAGTCCAGGAGAAGATGAGAAGGAGAATGAAAACAATTTACAAAAGTATCTTGGCATGTGAGACCTGTCTCCATATTTGGACTCCTGTCAGAGGAAATGGTGTTCTCTGTGGATCAAAAGGATGCCAGGGACACAGAATCCAGTTAGCATAGAAACTCCAGGCCAGTTTTACATCTTTTTATCTTTAATCCTTGTAAAACGATTGGATTACATGAGCCAAATTCCATGTTGATTAGAATCCAGTACAAATAAGCAGTAGAATACGTGACATTAGCAATGTAAGAGCTGTAATGGACCACAAACAGAATGTGAAGAATAGGTTATGTATAAAATTTCAGAGAGGGCTTGGGCTTGTTATAAAATGCTCTTATTTTGGTATATGCATTTTCAGAAATCATATTTATTTTTACGGAAAAAATATAGACTTGATAATAACTTCAGGTCCATTAATGAAGGCCAACATTTGAAAATACTGCAGCAGGCAATAAATTGCTCATCCATCATATCTGACAGTGGTGGACTCAGCTGGAATTGTTTTTAACAGCAGTCAAATTGCTAGAAGTTGTCTACACATGCAAAAATATTGCAAGCTTATTTAAAAAAAAACCAATCAAAATTGATGTGCTATCAAGTTATTAACAGCTTAAAACACTTTTAAGAAAAATATAAATAAATATTAGATGCCAAATGCATATACAATCCCAAACATATACAATCCTGTATTTGTAATTGCCACATGGAAAAAAGAGAGTGTTTTACCTAATCTGTCTATAGGTATATGATACTACTATATACTGTACAGTATTTATCTCTTTTTAAGTAGCATTGCAACCTGTAGGATTTAGGGACAATATCAGAAATTCCCATGTATAGTTAAAGATGGGAAAATTTTGTTTGATTCCAATATGAAATCACATAGAGATGTCGTTCTCAAGTTGAGGGCCAGAAACCACCAATATGCTGATAATACTTAGCTTTCCTTTCCTTTTTTATAGACTTAAGGTCTAAAGTTTCTAGGGCCTCTGAATGTCTGCAGATGACACTGGACTTAGATGTGAAGGAATAAAATAAGACATGGCAATGAATAACGCTGGGAGTTGGATATCAGGATTTGGCAAATTCAGATAGTCCTCAACTGAGCCTGAAATTTCCGTTGCTAAGTGAGACAGTTAAGTGAATTTGCCCCATTTTACGACCTGTCTTGCCACAGTTGTTAAGTGAATCGCTGCAGTTGTTAAGTTAGTAACACGGTTGTTAAGTGAATCTGACTTCTCCATTGGCTTTGCTTGTCAGAAGGTCGCAAAAGGTGATCTCACGATCCTGGGACACTGCAACCGTCATAAATACGAGTCAGTCCGAATTTTGATCACGTGATCATGGGGATGCTGCAATGTCATAAGTCACTTTTTTCATTGCCGTTATAATCTTGAACTAAATGGACTGTTGTATGTCAAGGACTGCCCATAATGCTTGTTTTAGAAAAAGACCCCCTTAAGAATCAATTTTGTAGTCTAGTGGATCTTCTGGATTCAGCATTAACCCTGGAGAGCCACAGCAGTTTTAGCTGATAAAGAATCCTAAAATCCATGCAATGATAACCTCAAGGCTGATTTATTGCCATGCATTTCTTTAGCAGCAGCTCCCGAGAATGAAAATTGCAGTTACTACAGAAAAGTGGCTTCATCAATAGTGAGTGGTGTCTCCTGGAGGTCCCATGTTACTCCTGGCTTGGAACAATTTCACTGGTGGCCAGTTGCTTTCCAGACCCAGTTCAGAGCGGTCACAATGAAATTTAAAGTCTTATCAGCTGAGGAAATCACCTTTTGAGAGGCCAGCCCTGAGTGCATTCAGTCTACTGGTTTTTGAGGCTCTAAATGTTTTTGAGGTACATTTCATATTTTCACTTGTTACAGGTAGTCCTTGACCTATGACCACAATTGGCCCCAACATTTCTGTTGCTAAATGGGACAGTTGTTATGTTAGTTTTTATGACCTTTCTTGCCATAGTTGTTAAGTGGATCGCTGCAGTTGACAAGGCAGTAACCCGGTTGTTAAGTGCATCTGGCTTCCCCACTGACTTTGCTTGTCAGAAGGTCACAAAAGCTGGTCACATGACCCCCCGGGAAACTGCAACCATCATAAATATGAACCAGTTGCCAAGCGGGCAAATTTTGATCACGTGACCGCGGGGGATGCTGCAACGGTCGTAAGTGTGAAAAACAGTCATAAGTCACTCTTTTCAGTGCCGTTGTAACTTTGAATGGTCACTAAATGAATGGTAGTCGAGGACTACCGTATATCTTTTGATAATGTCCATAAAGAGAAAGGACAGCATATACATAGTTTAACTAAATAAGGAAATGGGAAAAGAATAGATTACCTTTCATTCTTGAAGACTATTTATTCCCTTTCCTTCTGGAGGACAATGGGCTGTTATAGAAACTTTTCAAGCAAAGGGCAGTGATTTATTATCCAAGTAATTATTATTTTTTTCTGCTTTAGCTCTATAAGTAGATAAGCCAAATGAAACAGAACTTCTAATCCTTATCCAAAGAGCCATTTCTGTATAACCACAAATCATATAGTCCACGGCACCTGGAGTGGAAGATGGTTTGTCTCCACATGTAGATGCAGCACTCTAAATTCTGTTATAACTCTTATTAAGAGTTATACTCAGCCAGCGTTTTCTCATTTATGACACAGCTGTTCTGTACAGAAAACCTTTGCAAGCTGAAGGATCGCTCTTCCTAAAGCATCCTAAGGCATAACCTCTAGCCTGGAGAGCATTAAACTCTGCCATTCTTGTTCTTTTATTAACGACCCATCCTTTAAGAATGATTGCAGTTTGTTATCGGGATTGAATTACTCTAAAAAAAAATAATAGACAGATAAATTAATAATAATACGACTTATGACTGATTTATAGTCAAACCAAGCAACCTACCCTTTTCTAGTAAAATACTCTAACATTAGAGTTGATATCAATATGCTTGAAATGATATGTGGCATTCCCATTTAAAAAAAAATCTGTACTAATACAGAATGCAATAATTGCTGGTAACAGCAGCAATTAACATTGCATGACTTATATGAATTGCATGCGAG